AACAAGGTGGATGGGAGAACAGTTAGCCAGGTTCGCATGGGCTAGGTGAGACAGAGGTAAATGATGATGTATGCTCAACCTTGGGATAACAGGGCTTTGGGATACAGGGATTTAGGAATGGTTTGAAAGGGAAAAAGAGGGGAATAATGTTAGGATGCTTGGTTGTCTTTTGAATCTTGGTTTCCCTTGCCTACCATTGTGAAATAGACACTTGAAGGGGGGTGGTGGGAGGAATAGCCAGAAACATCGCAATAGAAAACATGTAAGTTCATCTTCAGCCTATAACTTACTGGAATACCTTTAAGGGGGCTAGAAATTGCCCAGACCCCAAAGGGGGGGGGGTTATAAAGGCAAGAAGTGACTGGCTTACAAGATTTCAAGAGGAAACCTAGTTCCAGACCAGGCAGGAGTAGGCAGAACCTCCATTGAATGATTTACAATCTGTTGGGACTGGGCTGGTGAAAGGAAATGGGGATAAGACTCTTGTGGTACAATAGTGAATAACTGCCATCAGAACTACTAACTGTGAGGGTCGGAAATGTAGAGGCGGAATTTTTTTTTTTTTTGCAAAAGGAGGAGAGTGATTGATTTTGCAGCCCAGGAGAGGAGATCCCTGGGACCATCAAGCGAGAAGAGCGGAAAGTGTGACCCTACCAAGAGAAGCAGTGAAGCCAGGCATGGAGACAGAGATGATGATGTGAACAGATGAAATGGCTGGGGACACAGGACTCAGGGAGGGAGAGGAGATGTTTGCTGACAGCCAGGGGAGCAGGCCTGTGGGGTGTAACCTTTGGCTATTTGATGATGCATGGAGGGGAATGTAATCATTGCAATGAAATGAAATACGATAGGATGAATGTGAAGTTGTAGTGGGACAGAGGCAAATAATGATGTATACACAACCTTGGAACAACAGGGCTCTGGGATACAGGAACTGATACATGGTTGGAATGGGGAAAGGGAGGAAATAATGTTAAGAGGCCTGGCTGTCTTTTGAATATTGGTTTCCCTGGCATGCCACTATAAAATAGACACTTGAAGGGGAAAGAAAGGAATAGCCAGAAACATCACCATAGAAAGCTTGTAAGTCCATATTCTGCCTATAACTGATTGGAATATCTAAAATGGGGCTAAAATGTGCCCAGTGAAGGAGGCTTCCTGTGGTGCCTCTGCATTACATAAAACTATAAGTGGAATCCTGAATAGCATCCAGAATCTTCTGAGGTGGGAAATTTCCACTTGAAAGGACAAACAGATCAGCCTGGAGCGGCCAGAAGAACAGAAGATAATTCTTGAAAGAAAGACTGACAGGAAAAATACAAAACAATATAGGCAGACTGACTGATTACTACAAGAACAAACAAGTGGCTCGCCCAGGAGACATCAAGGCAAGTGGTCGGGTCCCTTCAGGGAAAACTGCTTTCTAAGACTAAGACTCAATGGGAATACACACTCTGATTGGTGACCACATTTGTCACTGATAATGGGAAGTGAGAGAAAAACAGCAATGAAGCTGCGAACTAAGCCCTACAACGTTCAATAGACTTCTGTGAACCCGGGTTGAGACCTGGTTGGCCAGCAGTGTGGCAAGACCTGGGGACTCTTGGGCCTAGAGTCAGTGACAGAGGACTAGAGTATAGAGTGAAGCATCCAGCTGATAAGAAGAGAGGGCATATGCATAAGTACACCCACACTTGCAGATAATACC